AGATGGGTGAGCTGCAGACAGCTGTGCTTCAGGCTTTTTGCCACACATGGCAGAGGATTCACACAATTCATCCCAACCAGCCCTGCTCATCTCCCTGGTGAGAGGCAGTAGCCTGTGAAGCAGCTGTCTGGGACAAAGAGCTCACCTTGTCCTCACGGAATGGTGCAGAGCAAGCAGGCACATGCAGGAATCAAGATGTAACTTGGCCTCTGTGGTGTTTCAAGGGACTAAGGTACACTGCAAAGACACCCTTTGCTTCCATGAGCACACCCTGGACCTGGAATAGGGGCTGCTTGAATCCTCCTACTCTCGAGATGTCCAGGTAGTCTCACCAGCCTGAGAGTCTAACAAGGGATTTCGCCCAAGGTTCAGAGCTCTGCAGTCTCCTCCACCCAGAGAGACTCTGTTTCTACTTTCTGCAGCAAAATTCCGCACACATCCCACTTTGCCATTTAAGAAAAGGCTACTTCAATTATGGCAGAAAAATGTTTCTACCTTGATGTGCTGGTAAGATAGTGAATTTTATGGTTGATCTCCCAATGCCAGTGTCCTGAATGTCCAACCCACATCCTTACTCATTTCACACACACAGATGTCCCACTCATGTACAGAAATTGCTGTGTTGATGTTACTTTGCCCAGGGATTACGACTATTCAGCTTTACGGTAATTTTCTTAATACAAGCCAATGTTGAGAATGCCATGCCTATGTATCCTAATACTTCCTGCATCTTTCCTATCACATTCAATGCCATGGGGCAGGAGGAGATGTGTGACAACCCATTTGTATCTAAGAGTTCTCTGTGAGTCCACATTAAAACAAACGGGGGCAGTTGAGATCTTGCAGAGGTGTGTGATCACTCGCTGAAACAGTTATGGCTGAGGGTCAATGTCCTGACAATGACTACACTTTGCCCAGAACTGACTCCCCTGGAAACAGGTGGCCTGGCCTGCCTGAGGAAGTCTCCGTCCAAGTGTAGGGAGAAGCAATATCCACCTTCCAAGCCTTCTGAGCCTTGCTCTGAGCCTGTTGACCCAGCAAAGGGAATACCATGGGCCCCATCCCTCCTATCCCACAGCCCTGATATAAGCATCCCTCTGCCATGCATGGAATGTCTAAACACAGTGCTGCTGATGCCAAAGAGTCTTCCTATGTGCACACACCCAGCAATGGCCATAGAAAATTTAGCTCTGCCCTTCCCTAACACCATCTGCCCAAAAATACAGGGAGCATCCAATTCTGTTTGTGGCATTGAAAAAGCAGCCACCACAAGCCTGAGCCCAGGCTGCACCTGCTCTTAGCTGTGGGCAAAGCTCAATGTGCTGGCCCAGGGCTGGCATGGGAGCCTCTGGAACGAGTGACCAGTCACATTCCATCCCACGCGACAGGGTAGCTCTCCCTGCTCTTGGTAAACAAATGGCCATACACAAACAATGTAGAATTGTACTGAGGCGGAAATTAAAGAAAGAAAAATAAAATTAAGTAGAAAAATAAATAAGCTTTCCTATATTAGGGCAGCAACAGGCATAGCCCAGACCCAGGAAAAGCCTCAATAAACACTATCTGAGAAGCCAGGACACAAAGAACATGCTCTGGAGACTCTCCCAGCACTCCCTCAGCAAAGGGAGAAGAAAAATAAATTTTCCTTTCTCTTTTTAGTATGAGTTTATAGATTCCTGTTCTCTGTAACTAGTAACTTCAAGTATTTTGTTTTATCTAAGTGGCATGATGAAGGTCATGAGAAGCCTGAGCAGGCCCAAACGACAGCCATCTGGGCGCCATAGCGAAGGTTATGAGATAAGCCCATGCTAGACACTAGAGCAAACCTAGATAACAGCCATTCGGGCTGCATAGCAACCATCATATGTAATCCTGAGTTACTCACCTGCTACAATTTGATTAACTGTCTCTGTTCTGCCTCTGTTTCATTGCTTTCATGCCACCAAAAGCCTGCTTCAAGCTAGCCCACCCCCTTTTTGAAGTGTGTATAAAGTTCAAGAGCTGTCTTTGTTCTGGGCTCAGTCTCAGGATGTTAATCCACTGGATCTGAGTGCACTCAATAAAATCCTCCTCCTTTACCCTGAGGTCTCTCTGGTCCTCCTGATTCCCACAACAGTGCCACAAAGGAAATTATAATAAAAGTCAAATGTAAAGTAAATGTCCTCTGAATCATCCAGTTTCATGGCTTTGAAAATGGGCTCCCTCAACACCTTGGACACCTCAGAACTGCTCGGGGCTTTTGCATGAAGTGCTGAGCAAGGAAACACTTGGCCCTTTACCATAAGCAACACAAGGTTCATTTTTTAAAAATCTGACATGTACAATTATTAAGTGTCAATTAAAAATAATAATAAAGGCAAAAAGAAAAAATCTACCAGTTACAGGTGTATGGATATATGAGTACATTAAATGCTTTATCCTCCTACACAGTTCTCAGCCAAACATAATTCTTCGCATATATTGCTTTCTTGCACAAATTGCAAAATGGAAAAAGACCAACAATTTTTTTCAAAGCTACTAAACACACAAACGCAAACACACACACACACACACACACACACAAATTGTCCAAAATCCGGGACCAAAACCAGGATCAAAGCAGTTCTGAGTTTAAAACAATTGTGCTGCCCATAATACATTATCACTAAACTATGGTTATTACATGTTCCCTCTATTGAAAAAACGTGGTTACAAAAAAAAAAGGCAAGGAAAAAAAGAAACAAATATTTACACATGTAAATAGAGCACTGTTATTTCTGGGAAGACCATAGAAAAATATGTACCCTCATTAGAACTTTGAAAAGGAAAAGGGTAAAGTGCAGTTTGAGTGAGAAAAACATATTTGGCAAAGAAGATGCTCAGTTTTAAGGGATATATGGATATGGGATCTGGTCCTAGGAATTATGAATTCAAGCAGCAGGGATTATAATTTCTCAGATCTAAGTGAAAAAAGCCAGACACAAAAGTCCACATATTGTGTGATTTCATTCATAGGAAATATTCAGAATAGGCAAATTCATATGGATAGAAAGTAGATTAGAGGTTTCTTAGAGCTGGTCAGGAGAGAAGGAGAACAAAAAACGGGGTTTCTCGGTGGAGTAATAAAAATATTCTGAAATCAGATAGTGGTGATTCTTGCACAACTCTGTGAACATCCTAAAACCCTACGCTGAATTATACACATCAAAATGGTAGGTTGTATGCTGATTACATTTCAATACAAAAGGCTTTTGTAATGAAGAGCTTTAATGGCTAAATCCAGTGAAAGAAAACAGTTGAAATAAAAGACAAAAGAATGGTTTAAACAGGGTTCTTCTTCTCAGAGTGAGATTTTTCTGAGCTCTTTAAACTGTTGGGGCTCAGGGAACAAAACCCCAAAATGAAGCCCCAGGAGCAGCCTCAGAAGCAAAAGTTTTCCTTTGACCTTCTCCTGCCCTCCTGCCTCCCAGCCCTGTTCTCTCCCGAGGCTGGCCTTATAAACCACAAAGGTACCCCTCTCCACAAAGGTGAATCATAGAAACCAGAACTCCTTTCCCCAAAGCCAGCCATGAAACCTGAACATATTACTCTAACTCTCCCTCCACCTCTCTGGGTAAAAACTGGCCTCAAAGGAATGACCTGACCTACGTTGTTTGCCAATAGGTCGTAAGATCCCTATTCCAGAGAGGGTCCTGCCCCACACCCAGAAGGAAGGCGTGCTGCTCAGAGGCCAAAAAGAAGCTAAAGAGACAGGCTTCGCTGGGTTCCCCACTTAGTCTATGACCATTAGATCCCACCCTTTTTGTCAAATCATTTCTACACAGCTGCCTATCCTTTGTGGAACCTAAGCATAAAACTAGACAATTTGCCCATATCTTTTTAGGTCTTCAATCTGAAAGCTGCCGTGTATACATGTTAAATAAATATGTATGCCTTTTCTTCAATTAATCTGCCTTTTGCAAGTCGATTTTTCAGAGAAACTTCTGTTCCTCTTGGCCCCTATAAAACACAGGATCTAGATCTGATTATTCTTTTTATTCCCTCTACAGAATTAAGCACCATCTTATGCAGAAAGTATTGTTACCTGAGCACTGATAAAGTGACACTGTGCAGCGTCACAAGCTATCTTTCCAAAGATTAGGAGGACAACAATCCTTTCCATTCTGTTCCTTTCCTTCAACTGTCACTACGGTGCCACCTCTTCAAATTACTTTTCTATTTGTAGTGTGATCATTTTAGCAGGAATCGAATAAGTTAGAAACCTAACTAAAATAAATGCAAGCTTCACACAGAAAATAATATATTCAGATAATTCATGTGAACCACAATTAACTAATTAATTGTTCTCAAACTCCTAACCTCAAGTGATGCATCCACCTCAGTCTCCCAAAGTGCGGGGACTACAGGTGTGAGCCACCACACCTGGCATGAACAAACAATTAAGAAAATGAATGGTGATGATGTAGAAAAATATTTTTGTACCTATGATAAATAAAGAGTGTGTGTTTGTCATAAATATCATCACAGGGCTATCTTTGAAGAGCTCAGAAAATACCTGCCCATATCATAACCTGACATGTTACAGAGACATACGTTACAATCCCCATTTACAGATGGCAAATTAATAGGGTAAGAGGTTAACAGTGTCTTGCGCACCTTGGAGCGAGTCAGTGACAGAGTTTTCTCCTCTAAGCCTCAGTGTTCTCCTCTTTATAATAATGGGCTTACAGTGAGCAGAGACTACCATGATGGCTAAATGTGTCAGCATGTGGAAAATGGAAAGTCCCTGGAAAGTGTCTGACACATAGTTAGTGTTCAGGAAATATTGTATACAAATATTATTAGTTTGTGTTCAAGAAGTGTTGTATACAAATATTATTAGTTAGTGTTCAAGAAGTATTGTATATAAATATTATTGTGTTACTGTTACTAGAAGGCTGTTGCCTGAATATAGAAATAAAAAATCAAAAGACATGAAGAAAAACCATGGCTGAAAGTCATACCCACTTAACTGTACGTACCTGCAGCAATATAGGAGCCTCCCCCAGCTTTGTAGAGAAAGTGGCTGGCGAAGGGGGCTGCACAGATGATCAGAAAGCTTGCGATGACTACAGCAACTACCCCCAGGAGCATCAGGACTGCCCAGAAACCGCGATAAACTGGAGCCCCCCCAGGAGGAAAAGAGAAAAGAAAGAAAAATACGCTCAGATTATGGATACAGCAGATTGTCACACAGTCAGTTGCTTTCATCTTCATTTTTCTAATTTCAGCCATGGGCACTGCTAGATAGAATGCCAGGGATGGGTCTGAACAAACAGGAGATCTTATCAGATGACCTTGGAATCAGTGATTTTCGTGCTGGTGACTTTCAATCAACTCCTCTTGCTCAATGTTTGTACCACACACAAGCTTAATATACTGTGGGAGCTCTTTTTTTCCATCAAGATTTTCCACTTTAGAAGCAAGAAGACCTAAGGTTCTTGCTTCTAAAGAGTTCCCCCATTTAAGTACTCACTCGGATAGCATAGAAGTGTTTCACACCGAAGGTCCAAACACATGTAAAGGCATTCACATTATTTACAAACACTGCCTCATATCTTCTGCTAAGATATATTTGCACCATGATGATCTCTGAGAGCTGCTAACAGTCACCCCAAGCCCCTAACCACAACAAAAATATCCGCTTCTATTTAGATTGTTGGCTCTATAGAAAATAGTCTAAGGCAATAAAAAATGACAAGCAAAACCATAAAAGAAGTTTGTTTAGCTATGCTTTCCCAGCAAATCTGATAATTTAAATCAGATTTATTTAAGGCCTACCTCTTTCTATTAATATTTTCACTCAGAAAGATTCAAAATGAGAGGTGTAGAAGTCTATAGGCATCAAGGACAAGCAAGGCTAAGTTAATGGTACAGCTGGTGAAAAATAGATAGCAGGTTTGGTGACATATGGTAATCAAACAAAAAGGAATTCCACAATCATTTTTGAGTTGGGTAATTACCAACCTTAACCAAATTCATCGTTTCCAAAAGGCTAACATGCTAAAATAAATTCTTGATGGTATAGATGGGGGAACACTTAGTGAAACATATTAGTCAAGTTATATTTTAAGAAAATATAAAACTTGATAAGAAGGCAAAGCATGTTTTTCCTCAACACACCTTCCTGGCAAAGAAGAAATCTATCAACCAACTGGAGTCTTAGAGGAAAGAAGATGAGACGATGGAAATTTGAGAAGAGGAGTCACCTTGGTTAAATGGAAAAGGAAGGCTCGGATTTTTATTTGAATAACCAAGTCCTGAAGACAGGAATACCTGATAGGTTTTCACTTCCCATACCAATGCTGGCCACTTGGCATGGTTTCCAGGGCTGCTGTGTTAGACAACATTCTGCAGTTGTATTCAGATGCAGCAGGGAACAGGGCAGTGAAGAGATACTAATGTCAACTTTGAGTATGGAAATCAAGAATTGCAGAGTGTGGGCCAAATATTTGCTGTCCTTGTCCTTCTACAGTTTATTAGGCAATTGGTGAGTCTCACATTTTACATTTTCATTTACTTCATTTAGAAATAGGTTGAGGTTATCTTTCACAGGACAGCTTCCATGCCAAGTGCTAGGGGTATAATCACTACTAACAAGAAGCAGCTCAGAGAGTAAGAAATCCGTTCCACGGCTGCACTGATCACAACTAAAACTAGGTAAGTATGACAAGCAACCATACAAGGAGTGAAAGTAAATAACAGCAAGTGGAGTGAGAAGGAAAGTCAAGTCTTAACAAAAGATGAAGTTGCAAAGAGTTATCTGATTTTCTTCTTTTTTTCCCCTCATGGATTTGGCCTGAAGGCAAGCCAATTGGGAACTGTGTAAAAGGTGTGAATAACAAACATCTTTAGTTGAATTCATTTCCTAGAAATCTAGGAAAATAGGCCCCTGAAAGCCAGAGTAAATCTCCATGTTTATTTTTTCCTCTTTTTATTCCCTTAGTCCTGCCTCCAGATCAGCTTTAAATACAGGTCTGCACTGCTGCCCCAGTGGAGGCATGGGCACTTAAGATCCCAAATGATGACCCAACCCTCTAGATAGAGGAACCACAAAAAGGAACCCTCATTGTGCAAAGAGGAGGGAGGAATCATGGTCATGCTTTTTCCCTTTTCTTTTGCTGCTTACTGTGTGTCCCGGCTGCATGGAAATGTGCCACAGCACAGGAGGCCAGAACTCAGAATTCAACCTTTCTGGCCAGAGAAACTGGGAAGCGGTCCGAGGACCTAGAGGGTGTAAACAAAATCTCACAGAGAAAACAGCTAAAGAAAAGGCTCTAAAATTCTATGTTTGAACCTACACAAGGACCAAGTGTACCCCCAAGTTGCACATGCACAGGAAATAGACCAAGAAGCATAGCAAAGTCTTTGAGAACCAAATTACAGTTTGAAGACCATCCAGGTTCCAGAGCAAGCCCTGAGTGATGTGCGCCCCAGGGTGCAGGGCACAAAGAGCATCACACAGACTTTGAAAACCGAATTGACATTGAAACTGCCACCACAGAAGAAAGGGACAGATTGGGTTGATTGATTGCCTGCTGGAAAAAAACAATAAAATTTTAAAAATCCACATTATCCAGAGAATTTTAACACTGAATTCTCCAGCGAATTTAACACGTTGAATTTTGACAACATAAAATTGAAGGTGTCCAGGATACAACCTGAAATTACTTGACATACCAACAATAACGAAAATCTGATCAATTATCAAAGAGACAGCCAACCCAAAGATGATTTAGATATACTTTCCAAATGTGATGAAACACAAATTTATAGATACAGGACACTCAGCAAACTCCAAAAGATAATAAACTCCCCCAATAAATTAGTCAAGACACATAGTAAAAAAATTACCAAAAGCCCGTAACAAAGAAAAAGTCTTGAAAGCAGCCAGTGGAAAAAATGACATAAAACATATGGGGAAAAAATCCCAAGACTCTAACTTTCTCGTCAAGAATGACGGAGGCCAAAAGACAGTAGGAAAACATTTTTAAGGTGCTGAAAGAAAAGACCTTCAACTAAAATTCTGCATGTGGTGAAAATATCTTCTAGAAATAAGGGTAAAATAAAGCCATTTGTGAAGAAGGAAAGCATAGAATGTGTTACCAGCAGTCCTGTTCTACAGGAAATGCTAAGGGAAGTTCTTTGGGCTGAAGAGAAATGACACCAGAGCGCACATGAAACTTTAGAAATGGAGGAAGAGCAGCAGAACTGGTTAATATCCGTGTAAATAAAGTAGACTCTATTTCTTGTCTTAGTTCCTTTAAAAGATATTTGTTAGAATTTTTAAAATCAGATTAATACAGTAGAAAAACATAGGTGTTGGAATCAGAGTGACCTGAGTATTTACCACTTTCCTTCAAGGTAACTTTGGACCAGTTACTGAAGCTCCCAGAAGTCTCTTTTCCTGTAAAATAGGGATGTTTGTATCTATCCTTTAGAACTATTAGAAGAATGACTTAGAAAGTATGTAAAGTCTATGGCATATAATAAGAAACCAGTAAAAGGCGTTTCTTTTCTTTTTTTCTTTTTGAGACAGAGTCTTGCTTTGTCATACAGGCTCGAATGCAGTTGTGCAATCATAGCTCATTGCAGCTTCAAGCTCCTGGGTTCAAAGCATCCTCCTGCTTCCTCCACCCAAAGTGCAGGGATTACAGTCATGAGCCACCACGTGTGGTGGCTTTTACTGCTGTTACTATCAAGATTGCATTATCACTGCACAGCAGGGGGTCTTGTGTTCAGCAATAGAAACATGCATTCTTTCCCTTAGCTTGTATGGTTAGCCCTCTGTATCTGGGTTTTGCATCTGTGGATTCAACCAACCATGGATCAAAAATATTTAGGAAAAACACCACAAAAAATGTCAACACAACAATAAAAATCATACAAATGTTAAAACAGTACAATATAACAACGATTTACCTAGTACATACATTGTAGTAGATATTAGAAGCAATTTAGAGATGATTTAAAGTATACAGGAGGATGTGCATAGGTTATATGCAAACACTATGCCATTTTATATCAGGGACTTGAGTGTTCACAGATTCTAATATCCTCAGGGGGATAGGTCCGGGAAACAATTATCCATGGATGCTGTGGGACAACTGGATGGCTGTACACTGTTTCTGATGTGTCACTGAGGTTGGAACATCTCTTTAAATGATAGCTTAGAGTGTAGTAGTCATGTTCGGGCAAAGTAAACTACTGATACAGAAAGTTCTATGAAGTTCTCATACCATCTCCCATGGGAATGTTTTCTGTCCATTTACCTCCTAAAAAGGCAGTAACCATGTTCCATATCACATGACTCTACTCCCACAAACCTAAAACATCAGTAAATGGGAGCAGACACCTGACACAAAGCCAGGTGACCTCTGACCCATGCATTCTGAAGAACAGTTTGAAAAGATGAGTTGGAATCATCCCTGTGATCCCCTAGGAACCGGAATACTGAGAAAGCAAGGTGATGAGCAGCAGAGCAGAAGCTCACAGGAGGCACTGATAGCCCGGTCCAGGTCCAGATGAGCCAGGGAAGCCAAGGGCTCAGCGATCCTGAACCAGGTCGCACAGAGGGCAGAGGAAGCAGCAGGAGCCTCAAGGCAGCGGGCAGCGGAGGGGATGTAAGAAAAGGAGGAGACACACGATGAGGGAGAGGAAGAAACAGAGAGCAAGACAGAAGTGGGGAACAAATGCGCCCCAGAGCTGCTGTCATTCCTGACCACTGCGAGTCCCTGCCCTTTCAATTGCTCTAGCAAAGGAGCCCAGCTTTTGATTCTGAATCCCCCGCACAAGGCAGGAACCACAGATTGGCATTTAAAGGAAGGGAGGGCCTTGGCTGCCTGGAGAGCTTTGATCACATAGAAATAGCCTCCAAGTCAGATGCCTGAGTGCCGTCACCATGTGCTTTGTTTCCTGCCTATGCCTGTAACATTCAAAAGTGTATAACATCAAGCATATTACAAAATTTGTTGGAATTTCCTATTTTCTAGCTAATTATATTCATAGGTACCACACTTCGATTGCAGAATTAAAATCCTCAGTCATAATAAAGAATTGTCTTGTAGACTTGCGTAGAGTTCATGCACTCTCTGAAGCAAAACTGAGCCAATCAGAGAAT